AACTTTTTTGTTGGATATTTTGTCTAAAATCACCTCCCAGAGTTTGGCAACCCAGGGCAAAACTGGACACCGATATACGCAAATGAAAATTTACAAAATGATTTAAGTTTGTATTCCTGATAATGCCTGAATTGGCGAAAATTTTATACTAAATTATTTTATTAATTGAAACTATTTTTTTTTTTTATTGATTATTACAACAATCTCTCACTCGGACATTAGTTATAGTGAGATAGGATAACATTCACATTATATATACGTAAAAATTTTATATAAATAGAAGTAAAATAACAATATTAATAATAATAGATAAAGTAAATAATAATTTAAAATTATACACAATGCATTAAATAAAAAACTTAAAAATAAGGAAATTAAAAAACAAAGAAAAATGCACATACATACCTATATACACTATTTACAGTCAGACGAGGGAGCCCCGAGGCAGGCTTGTCTCTCCAACTATGGAGGGAAAAGCAGGACTCCAGGAAAACCCTGCGCTACTCTCTCAACCGCATCACTGCCTTTAAAGCCAGCGGCGATTGATCGAGAGCGTTTTAGCCACATACTCATGTCTATATGGCTATTGTCAGAACTGCAATATATACAATCTACAAAAATTACTACCTATAATTAAATAAGTTAAACTTCCCCGTTATCCTCTACTCGCTTACTAACGTTTTTTTTTTAATATTTTAAAAATTATCTGTTTCGATTGTTAAATTTGTGTCAAATAAGCTGAATTCCGGAGACGGCCGATGGGATCGTTAAGCAGCCGCTCTTCCCCCTCCTTTCTCTTTCCCTCCTTCTCTTCAACCACTTGATGAACCAGCTCTGCTTCTACTTAGCTCATCCTTTTCTTCTCTTCAGGGCTCTTTCCTTTTATAATGAAGCACTAAGCAGTCGTACAAACCTTTTTGCATCTTTTTATAATTAACTTTGCATTTCCTCTGGGTTTTCTACAGGTTTAAAGTGGCTTTTTTTCCCTAACTTTTGGATCGTTACTTTTACCCTAATTTTTATAATTTTACAAATATTTTCTCATTCGATTGATAAACTTTTTTATTATTATTTTTTATTTGTGATATTTACAACTGTATTACAAATAAAAATTTAGTAAATGTGAACACAAGAATATAATAACAGGAAACCACTTGTTGAGAAACTACCTACTGGTAGCACTCTAAAAATGTATTTACAAAAGGAGATCTCGAGGCCATCTTCTTTTCTGACTCCTCGGAGGAGATTGCTAACCTAACACTTATAATACTAATTTTAAAACTGATGAAGATAAGACGAATCTTTTCTCATATAAACAATGACTTATACGATTCATTTAACAAATTGTTCAATTAAAAATGTACTATATCTTAAATCGTATGCTTATATAGGACAAGTTCCAAAACTCAGTACTAATTACATCGATGTATTTCAGCGGAAGTTTAACACTCCTGAAAGGTTATAAAACAAATTAAAATTAAAAATATATAAGGAAATATATGAGGAAATTACCAACTGATTTTTTTAATTTAAAAAGAAAGAAGCTGAATGTAAACTGGATAAATAAATTAAATTGAGAAATAACAATACTGAGTACAATTAATAACAAAATCCGATGGAACCTCAAAGCCATCTGTGATTCAATCGCTGAATCAAAGGATATCGATGCGTTTAGGAACAGTAAGGTGGATTTCCAATGCTCTCGATGAGCTCAGCCTTCAGTTTATGAACTTGCCCATATTAGTAGGGTCCGGATTTTTACATAAAATTTAATAAGAATTTCCGTGTTTCGATACCCATTAAAACAGTTATTTTCCACCACTTAAATTATGGCTGCCTTGCATGCCGTGGACTGTCTGGATAGACATGATATGAGACTGAACAGACTAATGAATTCTTTCATTAGATTTATCTTCGGAGGTGTTCCCACATCTCCAGGTGGTGTGTGGAGTTAAAGTGGGTGTTGATTTACGATGGCAATATTTCCTAGCCGTTTACCTTTGCCAATCTCTTGAAACCAAAAAGGCTCCATACATTCTTGATATGTTCACCCATAGTTCTTCCGTCCCCTCATTGAACCCGAGATTACAATCCACAAACCTGTACATTCCTTCTCACAGAATTTCTTCCTTCAAAAAATCCTTTGTTATTGTACTATCTTGTTCTGAAGTTTCTTACCCACCTATATATGTAAAACCTCATCTAACACCAATAATTGGATAGTGCTATAAAAGATATGAATTGAAATTTTACATTTCACCAACTGAATAACACTTCCTTAAACATTAAGAACTTACATCTCCTGGTATAAAATTCATTAAAACAAAATGCAGGTTTTTTTAAACAAATATTTTGTAGGTTTAGAAAAAATCTGGTTCTATTTCTTCTTGTGTGTAAGGAGAACTGTTTCTTTATCAAAGGTCGCGGAAGGAGAATTTGACCGAGATCACGCTCAACCAGGTTTTTCCTTTTGATAAATTATTTAATGAAGCGTATTAAGATTAGATTTGAATAAGCGTATTTGGATATGCCCTAAATGGTTCTCCCGAGTACAGGAAGGGTAGATCCACATCTGATAAAGCTGAATAAATATATACCAGCTATAGCTTAAATAATAAATATATAGGGGAATACGAAACTCGGATCATAAAAGCAAAGTACCTTACTCACAGAAATATCCCGCCCCCTAATACACATAGATATATATGTACATATACACTGACAGGCAAAAAATTCCACCCACTTGATTTTTTCATGTTTTCATCTAAAAATATTTCTGCTTTGGATTGGTCTATTGTTTTTAATGAATAAATAGGTAACCTCTTTGTTTGTTTTCAATTAGGAATGTTAATATAGAGGACATTAACCCTTAATCCTTAATTCAATGAAACGATTCTAGATTCCAATGTTTACTTTCTATGGAATCAAAATATTTATTCAGTATCATTAGTTCAGTGCCGTTTCTTGCAGCACATTTCTTAGTCTCCGGCTTTTAATTTTTTCAATATTATGTTTAAAAATGCCTCTCAGTGCTGAGGACGTTGCGAGTGGTGTGGCACTTATTGATGATGGAAGTTCCATTAGATATGCAGCTAATGCCTTCGGAGTTCCATATGAAACTTCACGAGACGCCGTCAGGCGTTTTCGGAAAACTGGTTCTTACTAGGCCCGGTTCTGGACGGCCTAGGGTAACAGAACCACGGGATGACCAGTTTTTGACTTTGAGAATTTTACGAAACCGGCACCTTACCATTGTTCAAGCGATTCATCAGCTCGAAGAAGTCCGAGGTGTGCAAATTTCTGAACGTACCGCTCGGAGAAGATTAAATGAGTATGGATAAATGGCTTTTGGTCCAGTAAGAGGACCAGAGTTGACCAGAACTCACAGAGTAACACGGCTGGCTTTTGCTCGAGAACACAGCCATTGGACTATGGACGAATGGAGTGCTGTACTTTTTACAGATGAGTCAAGATTCGCTCCTCGATCTCCAGACGGGCGTGAAAGGGTGTGGAGAAGAAGAAACGAAAGATATGCAGCCGTACTTTTTCCCAGAGCCAACCTTTCCAACGTGGTTCCTTAATGGTGTGGGCTGGGATTTCAATGGAGCGCCGCACAGAATTGGTTGTTGTTCGTGGAGGGTCTTTGACGGCCATTCGCTATGTAGATGAGATTTTGGAACCTCATGTGTTGCCTTTCCTCAACGAAATCGGCGATCGTTCTATTCTAATGCACGATAATGTACGCCCACATGTCGCCCGCATAGTGCAGACGTTCCTTCAACAGAACAATATTGAGGTTTTAGCCTGGCCAGCACGTTCTCCAGATTTGAACCCCATTGAGCATTTATGGGATAACCTCGGAAGACGAATAAGAGCGCGTACAACACTTCCTGATACACTGCAGGACCTTGAAGGGCTATCCTCCAGCAAAGAGACATTTCTCGACTGGTGGAAAGTATGCCGAGGCGTCTTCAAGACGTAGTGGAGGCAAGAGGAGGAAACACGCGCTACTAAACGATGATGTAATTAATTTCTTTTACAATAATCATGGTTCTTTTTTCAATTTTTTTTCTCTAATCTTTCTTACCCAATCACATTTTGATTATTAAAGATAAAAAAGATTATAAAATTTCATAAATACTAAGTATTATCTACAAATACCATGTATTATATACAAATACAACTTTACAGAAATATTTTTAGATGAAAACATGGAAAAATCAAGTGGGTGGAATTTTTTGCCCGTCAGTGCATATGTGTGTGTGTGTGTGTTTTAGGGAATGGGGTAGTTCTGTGAGTAAAGTACTGTGCTTTTATATACGAAATGAATATTAAGTATATATATACATACATATATATATATATATATATATATATATATATATATATATATATATATATATATTCACACATATATATACACACATATAGTTAAGCTATTTATTTTGCTATAGATTCGGACAGGGAGATTATAAAATTCCAACCTGGATGAATGAAGTAATCAATTGCCAATAAAACTTATCAATTCATTACGTCAATGAACGAACTTATTTAAATTTTCAAACGTTTGCATGCTTTTCCCACAAACCCATTAGTGTTAAAAAATATATAATGTAATAATAATCTTCCCTTTACCAAACCATTTTTTTAAAATAATTTCATACAAAACGGACAGATTAATATTTATCCTATAATTTATTTTTAAATCTATTTTTCAATATCTTACACTTCATCGAATTAAATCAATTCTTACTTCTCATAGTTTTTATATCTCTTTTTTGGGCTGTCATGTTTTAATTTGTTTTTGTCTCCAAGAATTCTTTTGAGATATTTTTCAGAAATCTGAAGAAGTCCACTAGATGGTTGGTACAAAATATCTGAAACACAGTTTAGTTCCTGGAGACAAAATTCAAAATCAATGACAGTGACTTTTTATTATTTAAATTAATGATTATCAATTTGAACATGTAATAAAATATATGGTACATATGTATTACTAGATGTTTGGTGTCCTGTTGTTCATATCCTACCTCAGCAGTTGGACCAAGGCTGTCTGCCCAGGAGAGTGCAGCTGTGGTCTGGACCCGAAGGGAAGGCGGATGGTTCGCTGTACAAGGGGGTCCATGTCTGGCATCATCCCAGTCGAATATATGGAGTCCAGTATAGAGGTAAAGAAAAAAAAATAGTAATGACATTCAGGGTGAAAGAGGCACAACTTAAAATACTTATTGCTAAAAATTATTTTAGACAGACATCAATAATCAATCTTTAATTTGTGGAGTATAAAAGATTGTGAAGGGCTTAATTGAGTTTGAAAGTTGTGTGCACATTTGATTTATTATGCCAAATAGTTGAATATTTTGTGTGGGTATTCTAAAATATAATATAGAATAGTGTCATGTAATTATGAATAAAAAACAACAATCCATCGGTATATTCAAATTACAAGGATGTTTTTCAAAAACTAAAGATATTGTTGAAATCTATCGAGAAAAGTCAATTCGGTCTAACTTGACTACCCCATAATTTGTAGTTCCGAATGGTATATCCCATTTTAAAAAAACATAAACATCCACTTAAAACTTTGTGAATTGCTTCATCTTACCGTAACCTACAATTTATTTATCCACGAAAATGCTCGAGACGTTTATCGAGAAAACGAGACGTAAATTAATTAATTTAATGTGGTACTACAAACTGATGAATACCCACTTGCTTTCCACTTGAATCTTAAGGTAATTTGATCACTAACTCTTGAAAAAAGGTGGCCTACGAAAATATTGGACACTTTGGGGTATATAACCTCGTAATTTTGACATGGAAGTCACGCCATATTTTTATAGGCCACCTTTTTTCACGAGGTAGTGATCAAATTATCTCATGATTCAAGTGGAAAACAAATTAGTATTCATCAGTTTTTAGTACCTCATTACATAGACAAAATTTACTGATCTATACATTGAAAAAGCCCCATATCCGTGAATATTCATAAATAAGGAAGAAGTGAGTCAGGTTTTTTGTTGAATAGAAAGCGATAACTACAAAAATATTTGATTTAAGTAATTAACAATTGCTTCAAAGTAAACAAGATAACATTTAATATAAATGAAAGTAGAGTTTGTCATTGTCGAGAACATTTAAAAAATACTTTTGAGCTGCTAAACTCAGCTAAGTTCCAACTTTTAAAAAATCATAAATTATTTAATTTCATTTTTTTCATCCTCAAGCTATACTACAGATGTCCAACTTTTCGAAAAACTTCCTCGATCAATAAGCTTTAAGTCTTTATTAATTAAGTTTATTCGGAGAAATTTTGAGTTGTGTAAAAAATATATTCTATCACTTAAAATAACCATATTTTCAGCGAAAATGACTACAATAAGTTAATGAAATGCTTGATTTTTTTGTCCATGATCTGGGATATATTATCTCTATATATAAAAATTAATGTATGTCTATCTGTTTGTCCTTTCTGCATTACGAAACCATTCATCTGATCGCCATGTAACTTTGGGAAGTTGTTGTGTATACTCCAGCGAAGGTTTCTGGTATAGAATTTCCGTCCAACAATAATTTTATATTTGTAAAAAAAATATCGCTATAGGCTATCGCATCAAAACGGCTGTGACAATTTTAACGAAACTTGGCTATAGTCTTCCTCTTAAACCCTTTTAATTTATGTGTATAACATACTTTTCCGAAAACCAGCTGAAAAAAATGTTACGTTGAATTCAACATTTTAATTGCCAATTACTAAAAAAGTATACATTTTTTTATTGATAATACGCATATTTATTTGAAAGCTTCCTGAATCCCCAACAAAAAAAACAAACATCGAAATCGGACAATTCGTTGCAGCGATATAGAATTTTAAACATTTACTACTATTTCTTCGGCAAAGGCCATTTCCTCCCCCTTTTTTTGGAGGTCATTGATTAATCGAAAATTTTATAATAACTGAAGTAATTGGGATTATCATTTGAAGAAGTGATATGATTCTCTCTATGTAGGTCAATATGGTATTATACGCTCTTTAAATTCAAATTTATATTTTTCCCCTAATGTATTCGGGAATAGAATCATACATCTCAAATATTTGATATGCTATTATTTATAAACATTTCACCCTTGAGTAATAATTATCACCGTTTATGTTCTTGATTCCTTTTAGAAATCAGTTTTTCATCGATTTCAGTTTATTTTATTTTTTAATAAATTGTTATCTTTAACATTACATTTCAATAAGGCTGTGCCGTTTGCCGTAAGGTTTCTTTTACGAGTAAGGCTAATTTTCCACTACAAAATAAAAAATCTATATTTAATCAAGTTCTTGTTAACAAGAAGCGGACAATCAAATATCTTAGGAGGATTATGCGAAATCTTTAAAAATTATTAATAATAAAACTAAAAATGAATATAATCGTATCAAAGAAGGATGTCTGTCACTTTCAGAAAATGGAGAAGTAAATTTCTGTTTATAGATTAAGTTCAAACTGTTTCTGATGACTCTATTTAAGAATATTCAAGTTGAATAAAGAAAAAAATCATTAGAATCTTTTTAAAAATTAATTAATTAATTAATATTACAGACAAATTTGTTTCCTCAACTTCTTAAAATGACAGATGTCCTTTGATATTATGCCACTCACATGTGCTTTCTATTTTCTTTCTTTTCCATTTTGCCACACTAATCCACAGCAGCGCGTGGCCGGGTAAAGCTAGTTATAAATATAATGCATTAAGTATAATTTTTATTTATTAAATAAAATGTTTTAAATAATGTTTTTTCGAATATTTATCATCTAATATGATAATAAAACTGTGTCTTTTTAACCAAAATCCCTATTAGAGATATTGATCCGTATTTAGTAGATCTTGTGTCTACTATCCGCCTGTTAAATATTTAGGTTAGTAAATACCACCGACTTTTCTTCTTTTTTTTTATGGAGTATGTTTCTCAGCTTTCTATATCGAAATTTAAACATCTGTATTTCTTTTATTTATTATTACTTATTTACTTAGACATTTTTTAGGTGCTCAATATCACTGCCCCTGAGGCCCAGGAGAACTGGCTAACGATGGGACCAGTATTCCAGAGGTTCCTCAACCTAGAAGAGGTGCACATCACCCGCTCCAACATACCCGCCATCGGCAAACATACCTTCTGGGGCGTGCCTTCTCTCAGGTTAATCGATCTATCCTATAACAATATATCTCAGGTGAGTTAGTGTGTATGTATTTATTTACTTATACAGGGTGTTCCAGGGTTAAGTGGTCAAACTGAAAAAATGAATTAAATAGTTTTATGAGATGATATTTGTTTTATAAATGTTATTGAGAGTTCCCAATGCTTATACAACTTCACACCCGCCCCCCCTCCGTATTATACCACCATTGTATAGTTGCTGGGATGTGATATCATAGTGTGCTGAAGAGAAGTGAGATAGTCATAGGGTGGGGTATAACTGATGAATTGCTTTACTAGATTCGTCTTTGGAGCCCCCAGGCGCTCCTATGTCTCCACTTGGTCTTAGTTAAAGTAGTTCTATCCAGACTTCCGACGGCAGTATCCCCTAGGCAGTGCACCTACATATTAGTTTTTCTTTTTAATTTTAATTTTAATAGTTTATGATACCTATTGTTATCTGTTTTTTTCTTAGCTCTGGTGAAGGTCTGAACTTTGGTCCCAAACGTCAGCAAAAATATAAATAAACATAATTCATTTTTACTTTTCTTCTTTGACTGATCACCCCAACGATTCTTCTCATCAATTATTCACTACAGTCAATCGTCAATCCAAAATTATATGAGATTTAATATTTCAAAATCCCTCATTAGGTTTTAAATAGTGAAATTGGAAAAATCATAATGGAGCCATCAAGCCGTTACATTTTGGGCAGAGATGCTCCCGCGAGCGGAGGTCAGCTGCTCACGGACGAGCCATCAAGATGAGTGATGGCGGCAGTAGCGGGGAGAGATGTTGCGGCTATTTGTCACGAGATAAAGAAGAGAAACAAACCGAGAAGAAATATGGCGACGAAGAGAGGACTATGGGATAGATTAATGGAGCGTTGTGGCAGCCTCAGCCTCCCAGATCCATAGTCCGGATTTGACAAGTGTCCTCTGTCCTGTCCCCGGCCAATTGGTTATTAATGAACTTTTCACCAAAATGGCCACCAGGAAAAATAGCGCAGCGCACGGTTTACTTTTCAACTTTTAACTCATCTCCATAAATATGGCATCGATTTCCATAAATTTCAAAGAGGAGATTCACCTTAGACATTATAATTTCAAATTCTGGTCGAGTATAAAGTTTTCATGTATGTTAAGCGTTCGTTTTTGTTGTTATGTTTTTGTTTTGTTTTTTATTAAATCAACTAAAATGTTTATGAAAAAGTATTATATGAGGAATAGAAATACTTTTCGTAAAGTGAAAATTTAAAAACAAGTTTATGCTTAAACAAATAATTTAAATGATGGCAAATAAATTCGTCTTTGTTAAAACCATTTCAAAGAGTCTTTTAAGCTCCTAATCTATCGTTAGTTCTGTTTTCAATTAAATGATATTACATTTTTTTATCTAGCTCCTATTGGACTAAACAGATAGCCCACTTTTAGAAAACACACCTCTCTTTTAGCTTTAAATGTATATTAATTAAGTTTTGATTTGTCAAAGAATAAGCTGAAATTCGATTACTTATGTAAAGACATTGTGTTATGTGAAATTCTGTCTCGTCAAACCACTGTTGATATCAGTAAAAATAATTATAAAGCTTATAATTTTTTTTAATTTATGCTTTGCATTAAATTATTTTTTTTCCTTTGTTGGCCCAAGACTTCCATTGAAGTCCTATACTGTAAATTAATTCTTATAATCCACTTTGCTGAAATAATGTGAATTTTTCAAAAAGTTACCACCTAAAGTGGAAGTGCACCAATGCCAGGTTTTCCCCCTTACTTAATTAATTAATCATTTAATTAAGAGTACCCACTTTATAAAGGGTAGGTGTGTCCCAGGTGTGTGTCCTTAATAAGTAAAAATACTATTTCCAGATTTGTCTTAAAACAAAGATTAATCTGTATATATATTTTTTTAATTTGAGATTTCTTTTAGTCTTTGAGGTCTGCTAACATCCCTATAAACACTTCTCTCTACTTATGAGACACCCTTTGTAATATTCATGTGAGTTTTATCTTCATTTTCGTTATTGTCGTATTTCATCAGCTCTCCGTGTTTCGATTTTTTACCTCCTTCATTTATATAAAAATTATATGTGGCGTGGAAGTAGTGATAACTAAATCAACTTCTACCCACATTAAGTGAATTTTAACTGAGGTGGTAGAACATTTATTTATGAAATATAGATGCGGAATAGAATACTATGAGTAGGATAAAACAATATAATGCATAATGGTTAATGGAAAATTATAGGCTGATCTATCTTTCCGTCTTCTGAAACTTTATGCATGATGTTGGTATATCTTCTTCATATTTTATCCATAAATATTATACCATTTTAGTAAAAATGCATTTAATGTGGGTGGAATCTGGTATAATTAGTGTTGCTCAAAATCGGTCTTGGTCTGCAAGACTCTGCAAGACCAAAACTAAGGCCACCTAACTATTGCAAGACCAAGACCAGGATTGGTAAAAAAAATCGATTTTTTAATTAAAAATTAAGGAAAAATAGTTACTAAAACTTGACAATCTTAATTATTATATGTAAATAATTGGTGTAACAAATATATTTTTGCATTTAACTCCTCTAATTTTTTATTCAGGCTTAATTAGGTTTCTCCTATCTAAAAAATTATAGTAATATCTCTGTAGTAATAAACTAATAAGTAACTGCAAAACTGTAGGAAGACTCTTGCGCAAGACCAAGACTTTGACCAAGACTGAGTTTGCAAGACCAAGACTCGTCTCGGTCTCGCATTTGGTCAACACTAGATATTACCACTACTTTTTATATAAATAAAAGTTCTCCTCAAATTAAATTAATTTTGATTAAAATGATAAAATAATGGATTTAAAATAGAAGATTGTGAGGAAGGTTATCATTGAAATATATTTTTTTAATAACGAAATAAGATACATATTTAAGTAATAAATAGTAGAATTTTTCATATTTTTTAATACATACGGTCTATGAGATGGCACTCCCAGCTGGCCGGGCTGAGGTAAAAGTCCTTTGAGAGCGAAATTTTGTTCTGATCGGGCGGTTTGTTGACTTCAGTTGTTTACTCACTTCTGTCCCCAACAAATATTGGCTCGGTAAGCGAAACTTAAATCACTTTCAATCATACCTGGATGCCCCGATGGCTTTTTGTAGAGGTCACTGTTAAAATTAATACCGAAAATTAAAATCAAACATTGATAATTGATCGAGCCATCCTTTGAATTTTAAGGTAATATACGGTAGTCGGTCGTTCACAATCGATTTATAATTCAAACTGTTCCCGATGATAATCAATCCTCCATATTGTCTAAATGGAAGATCTCTTTTGGATCTTCTAGCATATTACTTATCTATTAGACAACACATATATATTTATTATGAATATAGTAATAAATCCCAATAAATTTGTATAGGTACGGTTCGGGTCAGTTATACAAAAGTTATCTTCGTTACAGATCCAGAAAACAACCTATAATGAGTTACTGATAGGCGGCTAAGAAAGAAGTAAATCACTGTTCTTAGAGGTCAGTCAATATACATCGGTGCTGCTGCAAGGAAAGGAAATCCACCGATTCATTATTTTTGAGAAAATCATATTTGGTTTCAAATTTTAGAATTATGAAAATGAAAAAACCCTGCAAATTATTTCACAATGGTTTATTATTTCCAAACAATTATACATCTAAAGAAACATTCCCTTCCTAATTACGATTTTTTTTTTTTTTTTTTTGTGAAATACCGTAAACTTTTAAAAAACCATACATTTTGAGAGGGGATTAAGTTTTTGAATTTTTCGGCCGATCACAATGGTTCATTATTGAAAATAATAAACCAAAAATATCTTAAAATCGCGATTTCTCTACTAACAGTGCTTTGATTTCGATGAAACTTCCTTCATTTTTTAGGAAATTTGAATACCTTTGAAACATCTTATCACAATAATCAGGAAAAAGTGTATACTTTTTGAGTTATTCGGAATTTAATTTTACCATCCCTCATAACTGTTTTTCCAGCTTCTTTTCGTTGAATTATGTTATATAAATAAATTTAAAAGGCGTCGATTAAATTACTTTAGCGAAGTTTCATTGAAATCGGTACATTCGTTTAGGCGCTACAGTCTATAGCAACGCAGGTTTTTTGGCCGCCATTTTAAAAGTAAAAGCCGGATAGTAATGTCGATGAAGGATGATCATCCTCGGGTGACCTCTGATTTTATATCCAAATTTGAAAAAAATCGGTCCAGCACTTTCAGAGAAAATGTGCGGACGGCGTGTGTGTGTTTTTGGCTTTCTTTAATTTACTTATTTTTTAATTTATTTTATTTTATTTATTATGTATACCTTTTGATTATTATTTAGTTGTTATTTTGCTTCTGTTTATTTTTTTTTTTTGTACATATTGTATGGATGTGATCTTACGTCACTATAACCAAAGTCCAAGTGACAAACATTTATATTATTCAATAAATAGATAACAATAATAAAAAAAGTTACATCGTTAACTATTCATATCTACGTATTCATATCAACAGTATTCATATCAACGAAACTAAAAAGGTGAAATTCTAAATTACTCGATTTGCTAAATACTTTGTTTTTACATAACACATTTGAGTATCTTAGAGAAATAGGGCACAGTCCATTTTTTAACAAATCTGCATAATCACACATTCACATATCTCCACCAAGAAGTATCGATAAACATGTCTTACAATTAAACAAAGTGGAAAGGGAGTTAAATGTAACTAGAACTATATGCACTCTTTAATCAGGAGATAAACATCTGTTTTTCAAGTGATCTTCATAAATTTAGTGAATGTAACATGAGGTCCTGTTACATCGCCTGACACAGCTTCTTGGTTTTGCTGATGATATTGACATATAGGTAGGTCTGAACGGGCTCTCAGAGAAGCGTTTATAGGCCTTGAAGCAGCTGCAAGACCACTTGGTCTAGAAGTCAACGAGAGGAAAACTAAGTATATGAGAGTTGGTGGTGAGGTGGATCTGAACTCTCCATTTGAGGTAGGTTCTTCTAAGTTTGAGAGAGTGAAAAGTTTTATATACCTTGGGTCTGAAATTAATAGCAAAAATGACATGGCTCAAGAAATACAGAGAAGGATCACGGCTGCCAATAGATGTGTCTTTGGACTTGGCCGACATTTAAGAAGTAAGTATCTCTCAAAGAAGACCAAGCTGATCATATACAAGACCCTTGTACGGCCTGTTTTGACATATGGCTCAGAGGCTTGGACGATGACTAAAAACGATGAGATGAAGCTGAGTGTGTTTGAGCGAGGAGTCCTCAGAAGGATTTATGGTCCAGTAAAGGAGGGTGATGTCTGGAGGGAAAGAAAAAATAGGGAGCTCAGTTCTCTTTATACAGACATCGACGTAGTCACGTATATTAAACTGGCCAGATTAAGGTGGGCAGGGCATGTGGCCAGAATGAGCACCGTTGAGATACCCAAGAAAATAATGATGGAGGAACTGCACCTCGCAAGACGGGTAGGAAGGCCGAGGACGAGGTGGTTGGACAACGTGGCTTATGATGCGAGAACCCTGCTTGGTGTACGGAACTGGAGAGCTGCAGCAGAAGACAGAGCCAACTGGCGGAGGCTCTTGGAGGAGGCCCAGTCTCGGTAACGGGATGTCGTGCCACATATGATGATGATGATGAACATGAGGTCCTATAGCTCCAAGGTTACAGAATTGATTTTGGTTAAATCAGATATAGATAATTAAGTTCTTGGCCAATAATGAGGGATTGTAAACCAATGGTTTTAGAATAACACTCGGAAAAAAATATACCTGACCTGAAAAGATTGGTATATGTGACATAATTAAGTATAAGTATTTGCCAAGCAATCTTATACTTCCAAAGTAAACACATACAGTGTGTACCACTTAAGATTGCGAGGAAAAAATAAAACCTCTATCAACCATCAACTGATTTTTAACTATTTCGTGAAAAATTAAACTTCAATAAAATAATATTTTTTATTAAAATCCTCCTTTCTCTTTATATTATAAGTCTCTCCTGAAGACTAATCATTCTCGAAGGACAAACGTTCTCCAAATGAGATACGTTTTCATTTTTATTGTTTTTAAATAATTTATAGACACACCGACTTAGTAAATTAGACTTATAGTGGTTTTTTTTGTTCTTCATGATCTGAATGGTAATAGACTGAATGCTAATAGAATGATCTGAAAAGTCCGTACAATTTTAAAGTATATTAATAATAGAAGTTTTAACTAAAGACTGATTACTACTGGAGAAAATCAATGCTCTGAAAACCAACCCACAGTCCATGATATTTTTTCGTAACACATTTATGCAGGGATGGCCGTCCTCTTCTAACATTTATGACGTATGCTCCCCCCCCACTCATAGAAATTTTATTGCTCTCCTCTTTAAAAAAAAAAAAAATAGTGCAAGGAAAAGTATAATTGAAAAAAATTTATATCATGTACAATTTCCATAAAAATATGGTTTCTTCTAAAAATCCATAACCCCATTAATAAAATATGCACCCTCCCATATAAAAAATTAAAAAAAAAAGTTTGCCCCTCTCAAAACTTTTGATGCCGTAATTTGCGCCATAAAACCATCTTCACCTCTGCAATTATACATATCTATGCCTTTCTTTTCCTACTTAATAATGTCTGGTGTTTCTAACTGATAAGAAATGTCTCGCCCCTTCCAATGACACATTTAAATTTTATAAATGATCATTTTTGGAAGAGATGGAGGTATTTTAAACATTAAATAAGTAAGACCAACATAAATACATATTTTAGTTTGATTCTCAAGAAATTAATGAAAATCAGATGATAGTTAAGTGATAGTTAAGTGGCGCTTCTTTTTTAGAATTGAGATGTAGAATCTCTCTCTAAAGTTTCCTTGTTCTTACAGGACAGCTTGTAATCATTTTATATATATGTATGTGTGTGCATATCAAGTAATATTGTTGCATTGCTAAACTCTGTATGATGTAGGTCTTGGACCACAACTTTCGAGGACTGGTCAACCTGCTAGAACTCCACTTGGACTGGAACAGCATCTAGTCCATGAGCTCTGGGACCTTCCAGCACCTCCAAGATCTGAGGATACTCACCCTGAGGGGCAATAAGATTCACCAGCTATCTCCTCGACTCTTCGTCAAGCTCACTAAACTGAACACGTTGGATCTAAGTGACAACAATCTACAGAACTTGGTCCCAGAAGTATTCAAGGATGTCCAGGTGAATTTAAATTCCATTGTTTTTATTAGCTGCACAAACTTGATTCGAAAGTCGTTTTCTTAAAGGGGTTTATAGTAAAAACATTAAAGAAATATTCCTTATGACGAGATTCATACTGCCGGTCAGTGCTATTTTAATATTATTTATTAGTAGAATATTTAAATTTGGTGTAGTAGTCACTTGATTAAAACAGAATGGAATTCAAGAATCTAATTGCCAGGAACCGTAATATGTGGTGGAATACAACCATCCTACTACCACACCAATTTTAAATACATATCTTATACATCAATTGGCCTAAAAATTGACCAATGAATACATTCTCTTAAGATGTACATTTTTGTTTTATCTTTCCCACCTTTATCCTAAAGTGCCATTGACTATTTAAGGATAATTTAGATTCTGTCTTAAACTTTTTTTTTTTTTCAGAAATTTAAACTGAGTAGATATTCATTCTTCACTATCTTGTAACATTTTCTTAACGATTCTGAATAACTATTTTTAAATGGAAAGGTCCTTGCAGTAAATGTTTTACTGATTGAGGTGTACCGTTGCAATTTTCACAGGAGGATGCTTCGAGGCATGTTAGAAGGTGGCCGCGTAAACTAGAAGTGTTTAATCCTCAAGCAAAACTCCCCGGCTCTGGAGCTAGTGGAATATTTTCTATTTTTAGGTTTCACATTTGTTAGTTTACACTATTTCTTTTTCTTATCTTTCTTCCATTTCGCCAGCTGTATTTTTTTTTTCTTAGTGCAGTCTTCTAAGGCAACATCTTTCAATTTGGTCACCTCCATTTCTTCACCACTACTAGCCTAATTGGTTGTATTTTCAGCTTTTTCATTGCTCATGAATGTCGCAGTGAGATGGGTCCCATACAAAGGCTAAAGACATCTTAATTTTTAGTTAAATTATTTCTTTAATTAAGGAACTACTTGGGTGGTTGTAATGATAATTTGAACATTAAAAGAGTCCGTTACTACAACACAGCAGTTTATTTTCATGATAATATTCATGATGTCTATCGCCTTTCAGGTGAATATGGAGCACTCCAGGTGAATATGGTGGGTTGAACAGTATCTCCATTGACAATATATTTGTACCACTTATAATCACGAAAAATGATATGATATGAAACTAACAAAACATTGAGAATACCTAAAATTTAATTAACAAGTTTTCCACTATTAGGAGCTCAAATTGTTTCATAAAACTGACGGGATCTAAGCGAATAACTTAAGCCATCAAACTTAAAAAATCATCGAGCTCTTCATTCAAAGAATCGTTGAATACATACAAGCAGTCAACATAAACATATTAACCATTTTTGTTTTTCTACTATTTTGTTATTCTAAAGGGACTTTGTCCCAGAATAAAGTTATTTTCTATTTCTAACCCACATGCGGCTTCGCCATAGTCCAATAATTAACAGAAAACTTGTCAATAATTAATACATTTCGATTAAAGATATTTATGAACATTTATTTTTATGAATAAAAAAGATAATAGTTTAATACCATAGTCTTAAGTGAAGTGTTTTTTTATGTGTTCGATATCAGTATTAACTGGACTGACACAAGACGATTCACTTCTAACCATTCACCAATTCCAACTCATCATAATCCCTCTTTGAATGAATACTATGCAGTACAAGGAGTGCCGTCCCACCAATTTTTTCGGATATATCAAACCCACATCTTAGGAACTAAGAAAAAAAAATTAAGAATAACAATTGTTAGTTATCAAGAATAGTATCTCTGTTTTCATGCGTCATGATATAATACAGTGACGCGAATTATATACGGCAAATCATATTAACGAACATCATAAAATAAAATAACATCATAATGATACATATATTTTATTCAACCAAACGTATCTCCGGCAATAATTTCCTTAGTTTGAGAGTTCCTTCTTGGAGCGTGACCAATTTTTAACGCGGGAAACTTAAAGAACAAACCAAACTTCCTTTGACCGTTACTCTTTCGAAAGTTAAGATTAGTAAAAAACTTGAGGAAGATTGAGGTTTGAATTTAAATATCTCGTACCTAGTTATGCGCCTAGCGTTTCATTCAGCTACTTCATGAGATCCCTAAATATAAAGTGTGGCTTAAAAAAAAAAAAACTTTGAAAATAAAGAATAGATAATCCTGCTCTAGATTTTCAAAGTCTAGAAGTTGGACTTTGGAAACTACGTGATCCGTTCCACAAACCACGTTGCTACAAGCTTATTAAGTGTTCTCTTTCAAGTTAAAGTTATATGTGGGGTCGAGGACTTGTTAAGAGAGTTTGTTAAAACAAAAAACTAAGGAACTTGCCTTAAACTCTATGAAATTATTATATGTTAAAACTACATTATTTGTATATTTTTTTTTCTCAAAATAATATATACATTTTCATCTGAATTAAATTTAGATAAATATTTTTATAGATGTAGGCGCCAGTAATCTCTTTAATAAAATTCTATTTATTTTTTAAATTTAAATTTTAGTCTTCTTCCTATTATACTCATTCATAAATTCATTTATAAAAAAAAAAGTTTTCCGTGTTTCCGAAGGTCATTTCATTCTATTAGCTGGAGTTAATTAAATTTCTATTAATAAAATCCTTCTTAAATGAATAGTTCAATAGCACTCTATCCTTTTCTACAAAAAGGGTTTAGATAAACTAATATTACAAAAACAATCATTACTTTTTTAAATGTTCAACTTGTTTTCTTTGTTTTTTCAGGAACTCAGAACATTTTCCTGCAGACGGTGTAATCTGCGGAATATGAACCCTCACATCTATAGCCTTCTGTCCAACCTAGCTAACCTGGATCTCGGTGAGAATCAGTTCAAGTACCTTGACAAGGAGGAATTCAGGGACTTGAAGAAGCTAACTTCGCTGAGATTGGACGGTAACCACTTTCCGGTGGTACTCGAAGGAACATTCGCATTTCAAGGTCGACTTCAGCACCTGAATCTTGGTCAAAGCCAGATTGCTAAAGTTACCAACCACGCCTTTGACAACCTGACCGCCTTAATCGTGCTCGATCTCAGTTACAATAAGCTTGACCGCCTTGAGCCCATTACCTTCCAGCCACTAGCGTCAAATCTCAGGTCACTCTCTGTGTCTGGTAATAACATTAGGGTGGAGGAGTTTATCTTTATACTCCAGGTTACGACAAAACTAAGGTACCTAGCATTGGCTGATCTGGAGGTCAAAGAAGGACTACCACTAGGCCTGCTGGCCCATGTGGAGTCACTTAAGAATCTGAACTTGTCAGGCAACGGCTTGACAAGATTTCAATACCAACTGTTATCGGTAGTACCCAAGCTTTCGTTACTGGATCTGTCAAGGAATAGGCTCCATTCTTTGGACGAGGGATCCGTAGCACGGATGGAATCTATCCCAACCGTACACCTTTACGACAACCCTTGGGCGTGTGATCTCTGCCACATCATGCCCATGCTCACTTCCAATGCCAGCTGGATGACATCTGTAATCTGCGCCATCCCAAATCATCTTCGGGGCCGTTCATTGGACAGCTTGAAATCAGAAGAGCTGAGCCTCTGCAGCAGCGGCCTGGACTACAAGGAGGAAGGCTTCGTCGGACTAGCACTCACCCACAGGACACGTCTAGGACTGATAGCCGCAGGTTCTGCCGTAGCGATCCTCGTCATTACAATGGCTGCAGTCATCGCAGGACTGCTGTACAACAGGAATCAGACAACTTTCTTCTACAACAGTGAGCAGAAGTCGAAAGAAAATCAGGAAATGTGTAACAGCTTCGCCGCCGAAAAGAAGTTGTCGATCGCAACCATCGATGAGATCACCAAAGAACCCGAAGTTGAAGACCAAACAAAAGTTTCCTGAGGGTCAGCCCAGGTTCTGGCACAGGTCACTGTTGAGATCGACCAAAAGTGTTGCCAGAACTGGGTTGTCTTATAATTGAAGTACGTTTGTGCCAATAACTAAACAATAAGAAACGAAACAATGTGCCATGGAATCAAAGTAATCGTTTTTATTTAGGAAATTAAATTAAGATATAATTTGTATGCACATATTACACTATCAACATAGTATCAACACTTACTAACAAGAAAAGTGACCACATTCTATAGTTATGTTTGGATTGTAATCAATAAATAACTGATATCATCTCAGACATTTAAAATAAATTTCAGGCCACTTTACGTAGTTAGTGCAAAATTTGTACGATTTATAGCTATGTTTTCCATTTAAGTTTTTTAATAGAAGTTATATTCCTATTTTACCATCAAAACTTTACTGAGTCCTTTTAAGGAAAGTGGACATTTGTTTATTCGTTTTGTTAATAGTCGGTGTTAAAATAGATCATTTCAGACATTAGATAAAAATAACTTACTGGATTTTTTTTTGTAAGTTTTCTGGGGGTAGAGACCAAAACCTTAATGATGGTCGTTCAGTTTATCTTTAGATGAACTTCTCAAAAATTAAGACCAAGAACTTGATATAATTAAATAAAATAATTGTTATTTTACTTTAAATGTTTTTGTTCTCAGTGTTACTTTAAATGTTACAGCTCAGTGCAATGTGCCAATCTTCCTGTGTTAAATAGAAAAATAAAAAATAATTTCATATTCTCGATTAGATGTATTTAATACTTTTAAGATTTAATAATTTTAAGGTTTAATTTTAAATAGACTTTTTCTTGCATCATATAATCTCAAAAACTGTCTAGGAATATGACTTACGTAAAAAAACACCTTTTTAAGTGCGTTTGGTATATATTATCCATTTTTATTAAGTGACGTAATTTAGAATACTTTTAAAACATATCAAATTGTATTTTATTGATATGCAAAACAATAAATATCTGTATAGTATGTTGGTTTGAGATGAATTACAAAATCGTATACTTTCATTCTGAAGTATCTCAGAGAGTTGTTATTCATTTGTGATATCAGTAGTGATGACATTAGCAAATATTTTTTGGGTACTATCAAGAGAAAATTGGAACGAAAAAAAAATTAATTATTATTATTGTAAATATTTGTAATTATTATACTTAACTTTTTTAACATAAAAAATATATATATTTTTCATATATGTTAACAATAGTACGGATAATATAAATAGTTTCCAACTCAAATGTTAACGCTTTTTGTTATACAGTTATACAATGTGCATCGTAGTGAGATAAACACAGTATAAAAAATCCGTTAGTGTCATATATTCTAAAAATAAATTGTATATTCAACAGAAGAAAAATCTCCAATAAAAGTTTAATAATGTTGTTTTTAATAGAATATCAAACTTTTTTTTATCTATCTAAGCCCGATCTGGCCAAGTCGACGATCGGCTCTAAAATCAATGTTTTATATTTTTCTATTGCCCGTGTGTGTTTGGTCCGCAAAGTAATTGTTTTATACATATTTTTTTCATTGCAGAATTATTTTGAATACCTCTGAGGACCCTGAAGATCATTGTTTTGTATTTATCTAGTACCGGTTACGTTTGGCATCCAAATTAATTGTTTTTATTCATTTATTTTTGAAAAATTTTTGGGTTTTGGGGGGGCAAAATTTTTCACTGAGGAATGATCAGGGGCCCCTCTTATGTCACCGAAGAATATTGATTTTTGTTAATCTAGTACCCGTTACATTTGTTCCCTAAAATAATTGTTTTTATTCGTTTATTTTCGCAAATTTTTGGGTCCCATCCGATGGATCCCTAGTATAAATATTTTATACTTTTTTATCGCTATAGAATGCTTAGGGTCCCATCTGAGGGCCTCAAAGATTTTTTTGTATTTTTCTAGTACCGGTTACGTTTGGCCCCCAAAATATTTGTTTTTATTAATTTATTTTCGCAAATTTTTGGGTCTCCAATATATATGTTTTTTCCTTTTTCATTGAGAAATGATTGGGGGGCTCCCTCTGATGTCAATGAAGATCATTTTTTTTTTGTATTTATCTAATTCCCGTTACGTTTGTCCCCCAAAATAATGGGGTTTTTTTTTCGCAATGTTTTGGGTCGACTACGATGGGTTCCCAGTATAAATATTTTTTACTTTTTCATCGTATTTTATCGTTATCTATTTATCTAGTAGCATTCTACAATTGGCCCTCAAAATAGTTGTTTTCTATTTATTTATTTCAACAAATGTTTGGAAATCTTCCTATTGCATGTCTTTACTCGTGCAAAAATGGACCTTTGGATCCATCCACTTTCATTCCCTCTGTGGTGTTTCCTCCGTTCAGAGTTTGGTTAATCTTGGTTTTGATCAGTGACCAAAAATTTGGATTTTCCATCTCAGTCACTTTCCACACAATATAAAAAAGAGAAACCTTCAACCACTACTTGATGCAACTTAGACCCTCTTTTCATGGAAATGTTACTGGACTAAAGTGCATGCCACTATAAGTAGTGCATTGGCAAGTGGTATCGATATGACACGTATAAAAAATAATGGCACTAAAAAAAGGAAAGAAAATAGACACAAAATCATTAGAATTCGTTCTTATCAAGTGCTATCTATATATATAATAACGGAGCCAGACCGGGCCTGTATCTATCCTATATTACATTAAATTTTTTAACAAGCTGTCAAATATTTTTCATCATTAAAATTATTTATTTTTTCAATAAATATTGGCAGAGATGACAGAAATCCTTAAATAACAGTGTATTCTGAGTAAATTCATACAACTTTAAAGCTTCAGGATCAGGATGAATCAAGATTAATTCATCAAAAGATTTCTTTTGGAAATTGATTTTCTCTTTAATGTTAATTTTGATTTACCTCAAAAGTGTTGTCTGAGTTCATTGATGTATGAAATTGATATATCATTATATTAACATACAACTATAATAAATAACAACAAATTGAACAAAATTCTTTCTTCTCCAAAAATGTTTATTTAGAGCTAAATAAATTTGATTTATAAAAAAAAAAAAAAGAGAATTATCATTTGTACTTTGTATATAGTGTACATTTTTAAGAGATACACAAACAGTGTCTAGAATAATGTAATATATTTTTTTAAACCCTTTTAATCTTTAGTGTCATCATTATATTGTAATTTGATATTGTTTGATAATTATGTATTAAATTTATTGCTAATTCAATAAATTATTCTATAATTAAAAATTTTATTTTTCCTTACAACATACTATTATTCCCCGCCATAATAAATGTAAAAAAGATGTAAGGAATGGGACCCAATGAAGTTCTTGACTATCGATGATAGCACACTGGCATAAATAACATCGAGGAAATTGAAAGCCTGTCCCGAGCACAGCAGCTAGTCACGGCATCGAATTCGTTTAGGAAATTTAATTTCGTGGAATCATTTTTTCAGGGAAATAGCAGACTCTTCTATGAATTTCAAATCGTTATATGGTTATAAAAAGAAGTCAGTAAATTTCAAGATAAACGTGATGGCTATTCACTGTAACTTCAATATATCAGTAATGTCTCATATAAACATTTAAAAACATAAACATTTTTCCCCTAAAAAGATCATGATCATGAAGTAAGGAAAAAAGATGTTTTTCTTAAAATCGAGATTTTCACACGTTTTAGACATCTAGGAACATATTTGTGAATATCTAGTTTAACACCAGTCTAGACTCCACAAATTCATTTTAAACTCACGTGTGGATAAGCTGTAAGATGATATATTTCAGTATTTCAACTTCCGAATACCACTAAATTATCATTTTAGAAGCCTATGATATTAATTTTCTTTACTAATCAATGTTTACATGATTTCTGAATAGAAGTTTTTGATGCCAAAGTTTTTCGATTTATTAAAAAGTTTATATTGTTATAAATATAAAGAAAATTGGTTAATCAAACCAACAAGGATAGGATCCCACATGTTTACTAGATTTTGATGAAACATATTAATTATTTTGAAAAGACTATTCATTATATTTTACTTCTTCTCCAACTTAAACAAGTTTTAGTTGTTCAACATTAAAACAATACAAGAGTGTTCTTGATTAAGACAGTTAAGGTAAAATTATAAGTTGGATTTACCAAAATATATTGGAATAAAATTTATAATATCGAGGAAAACGCTTTATTTTACCATTATACATTAATTCCATGATTTAATTCATTTAAATTTCTTGACGACGTTTCGGGCAATTTTCCCCATTTTCAAGTCGAATATTTGTATATCATTATTATATAATCATATTTTTATGATTATTGCAACATTTAACTCTTCAAAATCCTTCAAATTATAACATTCATAAATTATTCATGAATAGTCAATTCTAAAACCACTTTTTACACTCAAAAAATTAAAAGAAATTAAATTTACTCAAATGTTGTCACCTTTCAATACAAGTCCACAGTCTATAACGTTGAAAAAAATTTTGAAGATTAAATGAAAATACTGGAATATAAATGCTTAAGTGGGAGATATAATAACCCCAAAACGTTCAAATCAAAAACGACTTTGAACACCTGTGTAATGTTTCATCAATAACGAAGACAGAGAAACTTAAGCTTTAAATGCATGTGGGAGGTTAAAAAAAAATGTATGCTCAGAATCGAAAATTTTCACTCGCTTTTTAACATTTTAGGCATTATGGGTCAAATTTGGTTTGTCTATAGTCAAAGCAATACGACTGGCAAAACATATACGACCATAAATCTGATGTTATTGAAATTTTTTCCACCTCTAAAAAATGAAATAGGAAGCAATGCATTGTGTACAGAGCTCAGTGAGTTGAATTATCGGGAGACTCGTCTGGAATAACCTTAAAGAAGAGTTACCGCACCGGTGGTACAAACTGGTTTCACGGTGAGGAGGTCCTGCATGGACAATATGTTTGTAATCCGGCAGATCATTGAGAAATTCAGGACGAAGAATAGA